GCTGGCCCTTTCAGTGTCGGAATGGTAATTTAATTTATTATTATGAATATTATTATTATTATTGTTATTATTATTATTATTATTATTATTATTATTATTATTAATTACATTACAAGGCTTAGGCCATGTCCATTAATGCCAAAATGATATATTTAATTTATTATTATTTTATTATTATTATTGCACTCTGGCAAATGTTCTGTACATACAGTAGGCATACACTGACCATAGTGACCACTGATTAATGGGTCCAAGCACTGACCTAAAATCCATACCTTAATTTCTTATTTCACAGGTTTTATGTCAATGTTTTTGCTTGATTCTGGGTGGGTGTTTTGGTATGACTAATTAAATATTTTTCATTTATATTTATTCTGACAGCAATATTAATCTGAGTTTTTGTATACTGTATTTGTATTTCTCTACTATACTTTTTTCAATAAAATTAAAATATTTATTGCTCTAGATGATTTATCAGTACTGTATGATAGTTATTATAGTAAAAAGTGGTATTCTTATTACTACAGGTGACTCAAGATATAATGTAGTAACATATTACCTTACTCACGGCTGGCTCCTTGTCCAGGTACAGCAATGGGTATTTCATTATAGGTAGGTATCAGGTATGTTTCTAGCTTAGTGGTTGTATCTCAAGTCACACACAACTCTTCAGTCTTCGGTTAGGGAGGTGACGTCATCCCAGGGCGCAACATTATAGGTCATGACCGCCCTTGCACGTGGGATCATGTGATCGCCAGTAACCTTTTGATTAGGTGACTGCCAGCAGACCGGCACTACACTTTTCCCCTATTTATTTTTGATTTGTTTTTGTTGGGGGAGAGGGTCTGGGTTGACATATTCCCGACCGGTTTGGCGCATTCTGACTGGATGAATGTGCAGGTGCAGAATATTCAAAATTCTTATTTTATGTCATTATTCAATCTTTCTATAGAAGAACACATAAACTCTCTATGTCAATCTGCTTACGTACCTCTCCCTATATAACATCAGTCGCATCAGAAAACACATTAATACACACACTGCTGAATTAATAATACATTCATTTGTTATTTCAAAACTTGACAACTGTAATTCTGTTTTTTCTGGCCTCAAAAAAGCACAAATTAAAAAACTCCAAAGAATCCAAAACACTGCTCAAAGAAAGAATGCCATATTACACCTGCACTTAAGAATCTACACTGGTTACCCCTTGAAATGAGAATCACATACAAATGGGCTTACTCATTTATAAAATTCTTAATGAGTCTGCCCCCACCTATCTCACTGAACTATTATCATTCTATGTTCCATCCCGCTCTAATCTGCGTTCGGTAAACCAACTCCGTGTAGTTGAACCTAGATTTAGAAACTCCTGGGGTGAGAGATCCTTCATGGTCGCTGCGGCCAGAGTCTGGAATACACTTCCACTCCAGATCAAGGCTTCCTCCACACACGAATTTAAAACTAACCTTAAAACCTTCTTATTTGAAACTTACTGTACTTTACATAATTTTCTAACTTTTTACACTTACCTTACTTGGGTCAGCGTCACTGCCTCGGTGGTGCACGGTAGCGGAACCTGAGGCATAGGCCAAAGGTGGAAACAACTGGAGCCCAGCATACCACCTTGTGTAGAGTATCTGTGAATACATGGCTACATGGAGAGAGTTACGCTGACCCAAGTACGGCTCATGTAATTTAATTGTTTCTGGTTCTAAACTTCATTGTTTCTTTTGTCTGTTATATTTTTGACTTCTTGTGGAGGGACACCATGAGCATTTTCTTTAAAAGGATACTGGTGCTTTAAAAGTTTTCATTATTATTATTATTATTCTTATTCACTAAAGAAACTTGAACTCCACCTAAACACCACTCATTTATGTTCATAAGCAGGCCAGGGTGTGCTGGTATATACAGCATGTTCTAATAAACTTCCTGGATTTAGGACACTCCAGATATCGGAGTCTCATAAAATTATTCTGCCACAATAATTTAAATAACAATAAAACTAGTACTTCAGGGAGGGAAAACTTTCATGATGAGAGTGACCAGGTATAGATTCTATAAAACTATTAATTCTGATCATGACTTTAATGACGATATCGATATGGTGTACAACGAGATACACCAGAGAAACCAACTTGAACTTGAAAAGTTGTTGAAAGCTGCTGAGCCGAAACGACCTAAGCTGATGAAGACAAAGAAATATGTGGGTAGACCACCCAAACACAAGCAATTTCCCACTATTGTGGTGGAAACTAAACATTTCCTTCTAGCAAATGGATTCGCAGCAGCAAGAGAGAAGGAGGACCGGGACTGCTATGAGCACGGGTGTTACACTGGGTGATATCACCAACCATCTTTTAAACACAGTACCAGGATTGGACGAGTCAGGTATAAGTAAATCTACTGTCCACCATCTAATGATGCCGCCACAGTCTAAGACTAAAAACAGTAGAAACTACAAAGGACTTGTTAAAGCAAGAGTTCCACCAAAATCGAACAACCAAACAAAGAGCAAACATCTAGACCTTCATTACTGTCGATTTCAGTGCTCGATGTTAAACGAGGCGTGCAAGTATTTTAGTGGAGAACGTTTGAGATTGTCATGTGACGATAAAAATAAAATCAACATAGGGACTCTGGCTGTCAGCAGGTACCAACAGAGAAATAGATTCTTCATGTTAGATGACCAACAAGATTACCTAGAACTTTCCATACGAGGATAATAAAATAATTCCGTCTGGATATTTGGTTATGACAACAAAACACGACGTTGGATACAGATGTAGGTCAAGGAGTGCAGAGAGATGTACTGGTGTCAAGACAAAAAGGCGATGCTCATCATCGCCAAAACGTACCACACTCGCCAGTTCAAAAGGCCGCTTCTATACTGATAAATTAGGCCGTACGAGAGTAATATATATTCAAAAGAGCAACTAGATTCTGTCAATCAATGGCGCAGACTCATGCCAACGATTTAGTTTACTCCTCAGCAACAAAGATACAGTGGGTGATAAATCAGTTGTATTTATCATGGCTGACAGTGGGGCAGACTGGTCCACCAAATCATTTAAGACTTTCCTCAACCAAGGTCGTTTATGGAGGGACAATGATTTTGATTATTATGTTGTTGCAAACTTAGCAGCGGGTCATTCCGCAGAGAACCCCATAGAACATTTATGGTCGCCGCTCTCCAGGAAACTTGTCTCTGTTACTTTGCCGATTACATAACCTGGGGAGGACACTCCTCCATGCCAACAATGTCAATTGTCAAGTGATGAGAGGGAAAGTAAATTTGCTAAAATCTTCGACAACACAATTGAGAGTCTAGGAAGTTACTGGCAGATGAAACATGATGGATTCTCAATTACTCCGATTCATATCCCATGTAAACACAGTCCAGCTCTGTATTCTGATCACGACAAACTCCACGAATTGACCAAGTCTGGGATAAAGAAAATCATGCAGTGTCCTGAACATTCTCAAATTCAAAGCGAATTCAAATTCTTCTTAAGTCATTCAGTAAGACGTACAAACATGATCAAATTTGTTAAGTGTGAAGACAGCGCATGTGACCATTGCTCAACTCTTCCTGTGAAAGCCAAAAAATTCATGTCGTATTTACGTTCATCGAACAGCAGGATGTTCACACTGACGCATAATCCGACTAAAGATGGGCACTACTACATCTGTCTCTTATACACATCTAGATGTTTATAAGAGACAGGTTCCATCCCGCTCTAATCTGCGTTCTGCCACTGTCCTGAATCCTGTTTGCCTAGGAATAAAATACATTTACAAATCAGTTAACTTTCAACAAAGTCATCATTATTTCCACAGAACCCGATGTTGCTTGTCCATCTCTTGAGAAAGGTGGACGGTCCAAGAATGTGCTCGAGGGGATGTAAATATGTATTGACATCTAAAACGGATGAAAGTCGCCATGATCTGATTGTTCATTTTGAAGAACGCAAAGAAGAGAGACGCAACAAGCGCAAACGGAAGTGCAATGACAATGGCCTGTAGTTTGTGAATTTTCTTTTCTTTAGTTAATCCAGTGTCAATTTTTTATAAGTAAATGTTATTTTTACTTTACAGACTTGACATGTTTCGCCTCTTGGCAAGAGGCATCGTCAAAAATGAAGCGATGACAGCTCGGACCTTCCAATGATGTTCCAGTTAATAGCGCCACCTATTTTTCACTTGGGTTTACCCAAACAAGGGTGCTGGGGGGCCGTGGCTTTCAGAATTTCATCGCATAAATGCGGGAGTTCGTATCCATCATCTGTTCATGGTATTTTTGTTTTGTCTTATCTTGATGGCTTCTATTATTTTTCTATCCTGCCAGTGTGGTTCTTTTGCCAGTATCTTTGCATTCCACTCAGGGAGATGGTTCCTAGAAATCATGTGGTCGGTAATTGCGGAGTTGTGAGTGACTTGGGATGCAGAGTTCCTAGCTGTTCTTGTAAGGACGCTAGAGCAGTAGTGTTCAATATATTTACAGTAGGTTTAATTATTGGGTAGCTATCGTCGCATGACGTTAACCTTAACCTTAAAAGAGAACTAGCAAACTGATTTTTAGTTCTAGAGGGGAATTTTGATATGCCATTAATAATATAATCAACCTTAAAATCGCTTTTTGGCAATTTCTTTTGGAGTTATAGGCCATTGAATACAATTTAATCCTGACGTCACTGGCGAAAAAGGTAACAAAAGATCGTGTAAATAAAACCGTGTAGGGTATCCGCCGCATACGATCTTTGCATGCATGCTGTAACCATAGCTGTAATTCTTCTGTTGATAACCGCTGATGAGGTTATAGGCTTATGACTTGATATGCAAGTTACAACAACCATATTTACAGCATGCACGCAAAGATCGCTCGCAGCAGATACCCTACGCGGCGCTTTTTACACGGTAAAATCGTATATAATGGCCTATAACTTAATAACCAATTAACAAAAAACGATTTTAAGGTTGGTTCTATTATTAATGGCATATCAAAAATCTCCTGTAGGACAAAAAATCATTTTGCTAGTTCTCTTTTAAGTTTATACCATGTACTGTACAGTATAGTTAAGGCAAAAAAATTCACATTTACAGAATTACTAGGCATGAAACGTACTAAAAAATACCGGGATGGTGTCAGGCGGGGGATAGTTTATAACCATGTACAGTATAGTTAAGGCAGTTAAGATCATTATAGTTAACTAGACAAAAATCAACTACCGAGCGGCCTTGTTGAAACACACATAAAGTTATCACTAGCTCCATTAAAACTACCATTTAAACAATATATGTTTCCTTCAATGCAAAAATCTATTAATGTTTAATACCTTAATTGTTTTGGAAATTAATGACACTACTTGGTTTAATTGACTCCACTCCTTCAATAAAATCCGATAATTCACCTATTCTTGTGTTCAAATCACTGCAGATTTGTATGCAGCCTAAATTTTGGTATTTATATAGGTTGGTTAAAAGGGAGTTGAAAAATTCTTCGGCATGTCCACCCCTACTAGAATTTATGGGTGGTAGGTAACAAGAACAAATTAAAAATACTTCACCATTAAGCTTATTAATACATTTAAGCCAAATTATTCCATCATTACTGTAACCCAGAGGCATTAAAATGTTTAAGGCATATGAACTAAAATACCAACACCACCTGAGCCATTGGGTGCATTATGATGTAAATCAGCTCCATTATGGCCAAACCAACAATAGTTTAGAAATAAAAATTTCTGTGTTATTTCCTAGGTGTGTTTCCATCAACATATAATATCAAAATTAAAAGTTTCTAAACTTATTTGCATATGTCGCATTGTTACTGTAAAACTTTTTTGGCTTCTGCCTGCAAATTTCTTGCTTTATCGTAGACGCATTTCCACGTCATGTGTTGGATGGACTCATTTTGTTTGTAGATCGCCATTACCTGAAAATAATAATTCCATAAGTTTTCTTATTAACAACAGTTGCTGTATAGTAAAAATAATCATGTACAGTATAATATAATAAATATTGTATCTTATTGCCTAAATTTACAGCACCTCAGTGAACTTTCACTGATCAAACTTGCATTATGAATTTACTTGATACAATGTTTAAAGATGTATAGTCTCATGCACTATTTCCGTGTTATTTCTTAAGTGTGTTTCCACCAAACATATATCAAAATTAAAAGTTTCTAAACTTATTTGCATATGTCACATTGTTACTGTAAAACTATTTTTTGGCTTCTGCCTGCAAATTTCTTGCTTTGTCGTAGATGCATTTCCATGTCATGTGTTGGATGAACACATTTTGTTTGTAGATCGCCATTACCTGAAAATAATAATTCCATAAGTTTTCTTAATATTAACAACAGTTGCTGTATAGTAAAAATAATCATGTACAGTATAATATAATAAATATTGTATCTTATTGCCTAAATTTACAGCACCTCAGTGAACTTTCACTGATCAAAATTGCACTATGAATTTACTTGATACAATATTTAAAGATGTATACGGTAGTCTCATGCAAACAAGCAAAATAATCATAAATTATTTTAAAAAATAATAATTTGCTCCTTTGAAATTAGCATATTCTTTTTCAGAGAACAATACTACTTTATGTAGGCTCAGTTCCTGGGGAACATTTCATATATTTCTGCTGCAATCAAAAGCTCCCTCATAATATTATTTTGAAGAGCCAAATTAAATTATTATTATTATTATTTAAATTGCCATGTTATACTGACCTTTTCTTTAGTGATTTTCTCCTTCATCAGGCCACCAAAGAGTGTCTTTAGTAGAATAATGTCTATGTCTGAGAAGAAATATCTGGTCCGGAAACAGTTCTGTTTTAAAGTATATTTACTCAGTTAAAAACCTGGTATTCAGTTAAGTCTGAAATATGTATTACGTGGATATACTACAGTATACTTTGAATAATTGTCATCATTATAGGCAGGCTTTTTGGAGATTTCATTCTAATTTAAGGTATAAATGAAAAAGACATGTATGTTACAATGAACATGCAAGAAACTGAAGTTTAAGACTTAAATATTGTAGGATCGATTTATTAAATTTGTTAATGGTCGAATGATCTGATTGTACCAAAAGCGCTGAGAGTTTTGAAATAACACATACGAGCTGCTGAAAACTAAGTGAGATTTTGCAACTTTACAAAAACAGTTAAATATTGTCATTCATACCTAGAACATTATTGATAACTATAATTATGCTCTGCAAAAGTGAAAAATATGCTAGTGTAGGGGATGGATTGACAAATCTCATGACGTAAATCATATTCGTTATCATTTTTGTGAGCTTGCAAAAATTCACTGTTATCTACACAGATAATTACTCTACCGGCAAGGTCACAGGTGGCTCTGTGGTATCCTCCACTGTGCTTGAGGCTTCCACTTCTGAATCTGAATTACCGGTAATATCGTCTGAATCTGAATTACCGGTAATATCGTCTTCTCCAGCTTGATCATGGCTTGGCACATCTGGTTCCTAGTCAAATAAAATATTGAAATAAAAATAAATTGCTACTAAAACCGTCAAACATTCAGATGTGTGTAGAATTTAAATGTGCAAACAGTACAGTACTTACAGTTTCTTTTATCTTTCTTAAGAGATGCTTTGCAGTGATGGCAGCTTTGTAATACGCATTTTGCGTATTAAGCGAATGATGCATGTATTCTGCAGTAATTCTTTTTTTTTTCCGGTGATTGTGTTGCCATGACTGTAAAATAAAAAATCATAATTACGTAATATTTAAGGTTAAAAAAAAATTAAATATGTTACACTGGGAGGGTTCTTTTGGTGTGTAAATTCAATGTGTGATAGACAAATAGTGAAACAAATTTATTGTCTTGTTTTAGGAAAACTAAAGGGTGCACTCGCTTCACTTTCTTAATCTTTAAAGAGAACAATAATATTAATGATTTTTTTTTCCCTATGTTATTAATATGTCATATGTTAATCATTAATTAAATACGAAATACAGTACACTGTATTTATAATTCACAGACTGAAGCAATAGACTAATGTTTCTCTGCATTAATGTTATTGTCTCACTATAGTAACATTTTGATGGTATGTGAAGATCAAATTTTAGTACAAAATAAAAAACTGTAAATGCTCGGTTTGGTTATACACTGTATATTCTTTATGGCTATGTTTATGACCAATTTGTTTGAGTTACATAAAAAAATAAGTATTATTAAGCTATTTTAGAGTAGAATTACTTTGTTGAGAACTGGAATATTTGCCAGTTTTATAATACTGTATCAATATTCCACTTGACCACAATATAGTTATAGTGAACTACATTTTTAGTGTATTGAATCTAAAGTTTAAAAAGAACAGGTAAAAGTCTTGTAAATTTCATTATGAAGTGGGTCTTACCATAGTAGTAATTTGCTTTCGAAAATGGGTGCACTTGATGATTTTTTCTTTTCTTACTCCCAAATTATGCCATAGTCTTGTTAAATCCTGGCATGGTCTGATTTCCTGACCGCTGTTTGTTTTGAAGAATGTCTGGCCAAATGCAGCGCCGAAAATTGGATGAACTTGTTTTCTGTACATTGTCATTAATTCATAGAGGTCTTTCTGAAGAATCAAAATTGCTGGTCCTTGATAAGATGTTTTGTGATTTGAAATCTAATCAAGTAAAAAAAAGTATGTTTCAGCCATTTTATATATTGTGTGCATATAATATGTAAAACTATTTAATATTAATTGTCATTTTTTTTATGATAGTTTTATATGCAATTGTACCTAAACACTCTGGTCTAAGTTATTAGGTGCCATAATTATTCTATAAAGTTTTAAGTGATTTTTAATTTATGTGTCATGTTAAATGTGTAAATATATCAGCTAGACCCCTTGACTTTCTTTAAACAATGTTGATAAAATAATTTCATACATATCTAGTTGAAACCGAAAGGTCCACTAATCAGATAAGAAAGTTAGGATGGATGATTCAAAAACTGATTATTTTATAACTGGTAATTAAATTTACAATTTATACAATTTCTTCATATTTTATTACATTATTTTTTCTTTCTTATATCTTGTTTACTTACCGTTATTGCATATTCTCCTCGAATATTTTCAGCTCGGTCAAATTCTTTGAGAAGCATGTTTGTAATGACACCTGCACGACATGCATTGCGAATGCATAACAACGAGATTATATACGATCGAAAAAACATGGTTTCTTTAACAGTAATACCGCTGCCGTTCATAATCTTTTCTGAAAACAAAATGACAAAATTATATTGAGTCTCTAAATGTGGCAATTAGATGCTTGCCTGTCCCCTCATGATAAGGCTCATATCAAATACAATTTAAAAACCAATTATCATTGTGTACATTGTACATAAATGTTGTAAAATGTTGCATGTAATCCAGTTAATGGAAGTGAACTGCAAAATTCATGCATTAAATTGTTTCTGATTAGAGCTCATCCCACCCTGGGGATTAAATTACAAGGTAAAAAAGACTCTTTTCTCCCTTTATGAAAATAGGAAATTAATGAAATAGATTATGAACAAAATTGTATAAAATTGTAAATTTAATTAACAGTTATAAAATAATAAAGCAGCAGTGGGGGAGAAAAACTACAATTTGTCGGCCCAGAAAAAAAAAATTCAAAACAATTATATGTATTTTGTACATAATAATAGACTAAAATCGATTAAATAAGCCTTTGAAACCCCTAAAGTGTCATATTTTCGGACCACTTTGGAAAAGTTTTTAGCGACGCCCAACCACGCCCACTTTTTCCTCGTTGGAGACCTTAGATCCCCCGTTGGGAAAATTTAGCTGCTACAATTTTGTGTTCCATAAGTCTCTAATACAATGACCGGGGGTAGTAATGTGAAGAGCTTAGAGGCCTTGTTGGCATTAAGCGCTATATAAATATAACATATTATTATGTCCTAGGTATGACGTTAAAATGCATCCGCTCGAATCGCTGGCGAATAACTGGCAACCCATCTACGGCCTTAGCGGCCTTTGGATGGGAGGGTGAATGGTCACCCAGCAGCAATAAGAAAAATAGCTGAACAAAGGGCAGATGAACTCCTCGGAGACAACGGCCAAACCATGCTTAGTTTAAGGAGTAGGATTAGTATCATTATTTTTGTATTCTTATTTTTGTTAAGCACATAGAATCTCTATGATATTCGCTCTATAAGCCGACCATTATTATTATTATTAAATTCAAAGTCTGAAAAAAAAAATATGTTACAGTTAAGGTTAGAGCCTTTGTTAGCTTTAAATCTGTTCTGGATTTAGATTGTTTTATAAATTGAATTTGTTTTTGGTATGCTTATTTTGATTTTTCAAACAACAGGAGGGAACACCCATTATAAGTTCTTCCATTCCATTTCTCTACCCTTGTCAAGTTCATAGGCTTTTTGTTTTAGTACTTAAAAAATGTTCTGCTAAATATTCCGCCATTGCTAATCAAACCTTTTCTTGCACACAAATTTGAATGAACACAATTGTGTTATTAGTACAGTATTACCTTTCAAGGCATCATTAATTGGAGTGGCTTTACTAATAAACTGGTGTTCCTCTTCACCTGTAATCATCTCATCTAAAAAGAAGATAATTTATGCAATAAACTGAACTTAATAATCTAATGAGCTCAAATTTAACATTTACAGAGCACTGTCAGATGCTGGGGCGAATCCAGGGGTAGTTCGGTCGAACCCCCTCCAGATGGTCTGCCTTCGTCGGCCAATTTGTTTCAACCCTGCATTGCCATGTTGAACAAATTAATTTTGGTTTTTGAAACTCTACACCTATTCAAATTCACTGAGTAAAAAACTTAATTTGTAGGTATGGTATTAGTTTCATGTCACCAGACTTTCAATTTTAAGGCTTTTTTCATGCTTTCACATGGAAGGACTAAGTCATCCGGCCTTAATTAGGAATTGCGAAAATGAAGATATTTTGAAGTCAACTGTTATCCTTATGTGCCCAGGATACTATACGCAAACATATGAACATATGATCCTTAACTACTACTAATTAACTACTAATAATAATATTAATAATAATAATGATAGTAATAATAATTTTTAAAAAATAGTAATTCATAATAATATAACCTTAACATGAACACCTGGATTTGTTAGGTACGGTAATATGCTTGTCTTAAACAAAACCAAGATTTTAAAGGATTTTAGTGGTATAGTATAAAGAATGTGTTTTTAGAAGCAGTGGCGTATCTAGAAGTCTTAAAATGGGGGTGCTGATGGGAGGCGCGAAGGTGAAATGGGGGGACTTGATGATCAGTTGAGGGCGCTAACTCCCAAAATAAGCTGATTTTAGGTGATTTTTAACTACTTGATTTTGTTGGGTGGGCGACTGGGGGGAGGGCGCGATTATTTATTGGAGGGGCGTGCACCCCCCACGCACTCCCCCTAGATATGCCACCGTTTAGAAGGTTAGGTCTTATAACTAAAACTTGAAATGTTTTAAGGATTATTTGATGAAATGAAATCTCAACTCTTACCATTTATTTTGCATTTCTTATTCTCTCTTTGATTAGCCATGTCTCTTGCAAGTTGTTTCAATAATAATCTAATTATTGATTGAGCCTTTAAAACATTGGCTGCAGGTTGATCCAGTTCAAAGGTCACATACTCTAAGTACATTTGCGCACTTGTTAGGAAATGCCTTACGGTACTTGCCGTTTTTGTCTCTAACAACTCATTAACTTTGCTAATGAAATAACAAAGATTATGAGTTAATTACCGTGCATATCTCTTAGAATAGATATACAGTTTGTTAATTGAAACATTTGGAAAAGAACAGATAATGTGGCTTCAGTCAATTAGAAATGAACATTTATTGTGTCTTAATAGTCTGTATTAGCATATGCATTGTGACTTGCTACACCATTTCCAAATACTAAACCTTTTATGTCTTATATTAAAAAATCTGTATTAATCAAATTATGATTGTTTTTAAAATTTCTACAAGGTTGCTTTATGTAGTAGAATGTGGGTATAACTAATAATTAAATTAAAATAACCTACTGTTTTAAATATCTCGCATCATAGATATTATCGTCACGTCCTCCAGCGAGTTGATTAAATTCAGACACACACTGCTTAGCTTGCCTTAGCTTGTAATGCCTGCTTTTCAGAAGGTATGTCTTAAAATTACAGGTGTCATCTAGTTAAGTTAGGGATGGAAATTATATTTTTTATTTATGTAGTGCCTTTCATTATATTATGACTATGTCCTCTAGAAATTCATTTAGAACTCTTAATAACACTATAAGCAGTCAACTGGAGTTAGTTATAATTTAATATTAGTGGGACATGAGAAAATATACTAGAATCATGTACTGTACAGTGTTTTATCTACTATATGAAATCTCACATTTTGTTGTATATAAAATATGAAATAGAATTATATTTCATAAAATGAAGTTACAGATGTAACATTTATTTGGGAAAATGTAAACATGTCATGATTTAATGTTTCGAATCATACCTTCAACAGGAATCTTTTTTGTTGATAACAGTGCTTTCTTGTACGCTTTATCATTGTTCTATAAATTAAGTGTTTAAAACATTTTTGGTTCTTAGTATTGTTTATTTTATACAAACATACAAATTGCCAAAAGAGTACAAATAGAGAAAAATCTGAGAAGTGTCCAAAAACTTTATATAAATATAAAATACATATGATATAAATTCACAAAATAATTAATTACAAACCATTAAGATTATAATTATTGTTATGCCAAAAAGAAAAAAATATAAATTATGTTAAAGTATATTGGTTGGAGGCTGTATTACATATATTGCTATAAACATGTTATATCATCATTGTGGACTTATAAAATTCGCATTTGCAAGAAAAAAACATGCATACTTCTGGAAAATCTGGAATGACAGTGTAACATGTTTATAAATAAGAAATAGAAATGTACTATGATAAAAGTGTTTAAAATTGTATCTGTGTAAATTACCTATGTAGCTCAATACAATACCTTTAGGTGGTGTACAGTGATTAGATGCCAATCTAATCTCACCACATTGGAATTGCAGAGCATGCAGACTTTAAGTGGCAGTTTGTTCATTTCTGTCCTATTTCTAGGAAATTAAACATAAAAATCTCTGTCAAATAGTTAATTAAAATTATTATAATTATTATATTTTTACACATTCCTTTTTATGAATGAACATTCTTAATTTGCAGCACAGCAAAAATTGCAAAATGGTATTTAACTTAGGAATACAGTACTCACTTCTTTTTCATTTTTCCAAGGCATCTCTTGGTAAACTCGTCGTTCATTTTGTGTACAGCTTTGATATGCCTTGATGTATTTGTGGTTTTTTTTCCACATAGTGGACAATTCTAAAAAAACGATAAAGTTGCACTAAAATTTTGCATGTAATTGCTTATAAATTTAAAAAACATATTATCTGTTAAGTGCACATCCGAAAGAATGAATCATGGTGCAATTAATAAAACTCATAAAACTAATAAACAGCACTGCATAATTAATTTGCACTTAACAAAAAGCATTCACACTTATTGCAGAACATTGGTACTTTGTTGAGAACTGGAATATTTGCCAGTTTTATAGTATCAATATTCCACTTGACCACAATATAATTATAGTGAATTACATTTTTAGTTTATTGAATCTAAAGTTTAAAAAGAACAGGTAAAAGTCTTGTAAATTTCATTATGAAGTGGGTCTTACCATAGTAGCAATTTTCTTTCGAAAATGGGTGCAGTTGATGGTTTTTTCTTTTCTTACTCCCAAATTATGCCATAGTCTTGTTAAATCCTGGCATGGTCTGATTTCCTGACCGCTGTTTGTTTTGAAGAATGTCTGGCCTAATGCAGCGCCGACAATTGGATGAACTTGTTTTCTGTACATTTTCATTAATTCATAGAGGTCTTTCTCAAGAATCAAAATTGCTGGTCCTTGATAAGATGTTTTGTGATTTGAAACCTAATCAAGTAAAAAAAAGTATGTTTCAGCCATTTTATATACAGTATTGTGTGCATATAATATGTAAAACCATTTAATATTAATTGTCATTTTTTTTATGATAGTTTTATATGCAATTGTACCTGTATCCTGGTCTAAGTTATTAGGTGCCATAATTATTCTGTAAAGTTTTAAGTAACTTTTAATTTATGTGTCATGTTAAATGTGTAAATACTGTATATCAGCTAGACCCCTTGACTTTCCTTAAACAATGTTGATAAAATAATTTCATACATATCTAGTTAAAACCGAAAGGTCCACTAATCAGATTAGAAAGTTAGGATGGATGATACTAAAATTGATTATTTTATAACTGGTAATTAAATTTACAATTTATACAATTTCTTCATATTTTATTACATTATTTTTTCTTTCTTATATCTTGTTTACTTACCGTTATTGCATATTCTCCTTGAATATATTCAGCTCGGTCAAATTCTTTCAGAAGCATGTTTGTAATGACACCTGCACGACATGCATTGCGAATGCATAACAACGAGATTATATACGATCGAAAAAACACGGTTTCTTTAACAGTAATGCCGCTGCCGTTCGTAATCTTTTCTGAAAACAAAATGTCAAAATTATATTGAGTCTCTAAATGTAGCAATTAGATGCTTGCCTGTCCCTTCATGATAAGGCTCATATCAAATACAATTTAAAAACCAATTATCATCGTATACATTGTACATAAATGTTGTAAAATGTTGCATGTAATCCAGTTATGGAAGTGAACTGCAAAATTCATGCATTAAATTGTTTCTGATTAGAGCTCATCCCACCCTGGGGATTAAATTACAAGGTAAAAAAGACTCTTTTCTCCCTTTATGAAAATAGAAAAATAATTAAATAGATTATGAACAAAATTGTATAAAATAGTAAATTTAATTAACAGTTAGTTATAAAATAATAAAGCAGCAGTGGTTGAGAAAAACTACAATTCGTCGTGGAGAAACAAAAATTCAAAACAATTCAAATGTATTTTGTACATATTTATATGTATTTTGTACATATAATAGACTAAAATTGATTAAATAAGCCTTTGAAACCACTAAAGTCTCATATTTTCGGACCACTTTTGAAAAGTTTTTAGCGATGCCTGACCACGCTCACTTTTTCCTCGTCTGGGACCTTAGATCCCCCATTGGGAAAATCCTGCCGCTGTCACTGTAAAGCAGTTTTAGAATCATCTATCCTGGTGCCTGTCAGTCATAATAATGTACCAAGTTAAACATTTTGTTTTATAAAGTCAGTTATCTATACTTGATTTTTGAAATTGTAGAAGTGGTTTATAGCACAGTGGGAACGGTTTGGTTTCCCAACATCGAGGTCGGGGTTACAATCCCCTCGCTGTGCATTTTGCTTGTGTCCTTGGGCAAGGCACTTTATCTACATTGCTTCTCTCCACCCAGGAGTATTAATGGGTACCTGGTAGGGTTAAATGCCAAAATGCGCTGATGTAGCTGCTGCAATTTTATGGAACAGTTTGTGTTCCATAGGCGTCTAATTCAATGACCGGGGGTAGTAATGTGAAGCACTTAGAGGACTTGTTGGCATTAAGCGCTAAATAAATATAACATATTATTATTATGTCCTGGGTATGATGTTAAAATGCATCCGCTCGATTCGCCGGTGACTAACTGGCAGCCCCATCTACGGCCTTAGCGGCCTTTGGATGAGAGGGTGAATGGTCACCCAGCAGCAATAAGAAGAAAAAGCTGAACAAAGGACGGATAAACTCCACGGAGCCAACGGCCAAACCATGCTTAGTTTAAGGAGTAGGATTAGTTAAGTATCATTATATTTGTATTCTTATTTATGTTATATAGAGGTCTCTATGATATGCGCTCTGTAAGCCGACCATTATTATCATTATTAAATTCACAGTCTGAAAAAAAAAAATATGTGACAGTTAAGGTTAGAGCCTTTGTTAGCTTTAAATCTGTTCTGGATTTATATTGTTTTATAAATTGAATTTGTTTTTGGTATGCTTATTTTGATTTTTCAAACAAAGGAGAGAACACCCATCATAAGTTCTTCCATTCCATTTTTCTACCCTTGTCAAGTTCATAGTCAGGCTTTTTGTTCTAGTACTTCAAAATTTTCTGCTAAATATTTCCCCATTGCTAATCAAACCTTTTCTTACACACAAATTTAAATGAACACAATTGTGTTATTATTACAGTATTACCTTTCAAGGCATCATTAATTGGAGTGGCTTTACTAATAAACTGTTGTTCCTCTTCACCTGTAATCATCTCATCTAAAAAGAAGATAATTTATGCAATAAACTGAACTTAATAATCTAATGAGCTAAATTTTAACATTTACAGAGCACTGTCAGATGCTGGGGCGATTTCATTGGTGGTTCGGTCGAACTCCCTAAACTGAAAATTTCAAAATTTCCCGGGGGAGCATGCCCCGGACCCCTCCAGATGGTCTGCCTTCGGCGGCCAATTTGTTTCAACCCTGCATTGCCATGTTGAACAAATTAATTTTGGTTTTTGAAACTCTACACCTATTCAAATTCACTGAGTAAAAAAACTCAATTTGTTGGTATGTTATTAGTTGCATGTCACCAGACTTGCAATTTTAAGGCTTTTTTCATGCTTTCACATGGAAGGACTAAGTCATCCAGCCTTTATTAGGAATTGCGAAAATAAAGATGTTTTGTTAAACCTTTTTATTTATTCAACCTTTTAGTTGAAATCAACTGTTATCCTTATGTGCCCAGGATACCATACGCAAACATATGAACATATGATCCTTAACTACTAATTAATTACTAACAATAATATTAATAATAATAATGATAGTAATAAACATTTAAAAAAAAAATAGTAATTCATAATAATATAACCTAAACATGAACACCTGGATTTGTTAGGTAATATGCTTGTCTTAAACAAAACCAAGAATCTTAAGGATTTTAGTGGTACAGTATAAAGAATGAACCAGTGGCATATCTAGAAGTCTTGAAATGGGGTTGCTGATGAGAGGCGCGAAGGTGAAGTGGGGCTTATGATCACTTGAGGGCGCTTACTCCCAAAATAAGCTGATTTTAGGTGATTTTTAACTATTTGACCATGATTTTTGGGGGTGGGCGACTGGGGGAGGGCGCGATTAATTTTTGGAGGGGCGTGCATTCCCCATGCACTCCCCCTAGATACGCCACTGTTAAGAATGAAAGTCTCATCTAAAATGTTTTTTTGGATTATTTGATGAAATGAAATCTCAACTCTTACCATTTATTTTGCATTTCTTTTTCTCTCTTGGTTTAGCCATGTCTTTTGCAAGTTGTTTTGATAATAATCTAATTATTGATTGAGCCTTTAAAACATTGGCTGCAGGTTTATCCAGTTCAAAAGTCACATACTTTTGCGCACTTGTTAGGAAATGCCTTACGGTACTTGCCGTTTTTGTGTCTAACAACTCGTTAACCTTGCTAATGAAATAAGAAAATTATGAGTTACATTACCGTGCATATCTCTTAGACTAGATATACAGTTTGTTAATTGAAACATTTGGAAAAGAACAGATAATGTGGCTTCAGTCAATTAGAAATAAACATTTACTGTGTCTTAATAGTCTGTATTAGCATGCATTGTGACTTGCTACACCATTTCCAAATACTAAACCTTTTATGTTTTATATCAAAAAATCTGTATTAATCAAATTATGATGGTTTTTAAAAATTCTCCAAGGTTGCTTTATGTAGTAGAATGTGGGTATAACTAATAATTAAATTAAAATAACCTACTGTCTTAAATATCTCGCATCATAAATGTTATCATCACGTCCTCCAGTGAGTTGATTAAATTCAGACACACACTGCTTAGCTTGCCTTAGCTTGTAACGCCTGCTTTTCAGAAGGTATGTCTTAAAATTACAGGTGTCATCTAGTTAAGGATGGAAATTATATTTTTTATTTATGTAGTGCCTTTCATTATACTCTGACTATGTCCTCTAGAAATTCATTTAGAACTCTTAATACTATAAACTCTTAATAATAACACTATAAGCAGTCAACTGGAGTTAGTTATAATGTAATATGGGTGGGACATGAGAAAATATACTAGAATCATGTACTGTACAGTGTTTTATCTACTATTAACTTAATGTATAGTCTGTTGTATTGTATATTAATATATGTTATTATATGATATTTGTATGCAAACTTTATTTAATTGTATGTATTTTGAGCTTTGAACGACCTATGTAATTTCCATGAGGACAAATAAACTTGAATCTGAATCTGATATGAAATCTCACATTTTGTTTAATATAAAATATAAAATAGAATTCTATTTCATAAAAAGAAGTTACAGATGTAATATTTATTTGGGAAAATGTAACCATGTCATGATTTAGAATCATACCTTCAACAGGAATCTTTTTTGTTGATAACTGTGCTTTCTTGTACTCTTCATCATTGTTCTATAAATTAAGTGTTTAAAACATTTTTGATTCTTAGTATTGTTTATTTTATACAAACGTGCAAATAGAGCAAAATCTGAGAAGTGTCTAAAAAGATTATATAAATATAAAATACATATAATATAGATTCACAAAATAATTAATTACAAACCATTAAAGATTATGATTATTGTTATGCCAAAAAGAAAAAAATGTAAATTATGTTAAAGTATATTGGTTGGAGGCTGTATTACATATATTGCTATAAACTTGTTATATCATCATTGTGGACTTATAAAATTTGCATACACCTCAAAATTAAAGAAAAAAACATGCATACTTCTGGAAAATCTGGAATGACAATGTAACAACATGTTTATAAATAAGAAATAGAAATGTACTATGATAAAAGTGTTTAAAATTGTATCTGTATAAATTACCTAGTAGCTCAATACAATACCTTTAGGTGGTGTACATTGATCAGATGCCGATCTAATCTCACCACATTGGAATTGCAGATCTTGCAGACTTTAAGTGGCGGTTTGTTCATTTCTGTCCTATTTCTAGAAAATTAAACATAAAAATCACTGTCAAATAGTTAATTAAAATTATTATTATATTTTTACACATTCCTTTTTATGAATGAACATTTTTAATTTGCACCACAGCAAAAATTACAAAATGGTATTTAACTTAGGAATACAGTACTCACTTCTTTTTCATTTCTCCAAGGCATCTCTTGGTAAACTCATCGTTCACTCTGTGTACAGCTTTGATATGCCTTGATGTGTTTGTGGTTTTTTTTCCACATAGTAGACAATTCTAAAAAATCGATGAAGTTGCACTAAAATTTTGTATGTAATTGCTTATAAATTTAAAAACCATATTATCTGTTAAGTGCACATCCGAAAGAATGAATCATGGTGCATTAATAAAACTCATGAAACTAATAAACGGCACTATTGCATAATTAATTGCATTTAACAAAAATCATTACATTCCAGAACACTGGTACGGTAATTACTGTATGTTATATTTATTTAATTTATTCAAATATAGTAGGTTGATTTTTAAAAACTGAATCTGTTCAAGTAAGCTGTTTAATTCATTATTTTAACTCGCATAGGCCCTACTTATGGAAAGTTGGTTGAATAATTAGAAAAGTAAAGTAAAGTTTAGTAAAGTACTAAAAAAACAAACATCTTTTAGTAGTAATTTTTCACCTTCCTTGCACGCAGCTTTGATGGAGCCTTGGATTTTTTTTCACTGAAATACAAAAGAATTGTAAAGGTCAAATGAATATGCAAGATAATAGATGATATATAAATATATATTTCAATTAAAAAAAAATATTAGGTCAACCCAGCAATGTATATCGCATTGGTTAATCTATACTTTATATTCATTCTGCTAATCGCCACTGTGTAACTTCCTCTATCTCCTTTGAAACCGTTGGCAGGAATGTGCTCATATCTCATACACTGGGGCTTATATATGTCACGACCACATTCCGCTACTTTTTAAGGCTGGATATTGGAAAACAACGGGAAAAAAAACACCGAAAATCAGTGCTTTGTGTTTCGCAAGTTGCTTACGTCACATAAATACAATTAGTCACATCTATTCTGTACTGCAATGCTTCGGTCTAAAAATTATCGAGTCAGGCCGTCAAAGAACTTGTCTATGTTTTCGCAGCTTCATTACATCACCGCCCAGTACTTCTCGCGTTCGTCAATGGGTGACAAGCATGTTCCCGTATATTGTAGTTTTATGGCACAAAACATTAGCAATAAATGGCATGTCGATCAGGTAAAAATAAAGATACAAGTGGTCACAAGTCATGATATAACCTCGGCCAAACCATACTGGCCAGCCCTAGTCTACACAGGCCTATTTTCGTTATGCATTTCGGTCGCGGTGTAGCGCGCCGACGGTGCGACCGCAAATCTGGAACCAGGGAGCTAAGCAGTATAGTATTTTTATAAACACAAAACTTGCATAAAACATTCGTTGAAACAATTATTTGTATTACTGTACTATAATATTATAGTTTATGATTATTAATATTACGTGTATATATATTATTTTTCTTTTTTTACTGAAACAACGAAAATTTTACAAAGTCGACTTGGTTTGAGACAAGTTTCTCTTTAACGTTTGTTGCGATATATATTTTATTAATGCATAAATTGAATAGAGATTTATGAAATAAATACAGTCAATAGATTAGTTTTTCATACATTTGTTTTCTTGTCTGTTGCGTTTCCATTTACTGTATCTTGAATGTTCTGTTCATGTTTATAATTTGATAAATGAACATAGGCTACTGAATTATATGATGAATGAATATGAAGGAAATTATTATATAGTACTGTATTTTCATATTTATTTTCCACATAAAATTTTAAATATATTTATAATTAAACAAATTTTAATGGCCTATTTCAGGCTTCTTTATATTCATAAGCCCAACAGAATGACTCTTTCTAGTCCTATTCTATAGGATTCCCGTACTTTTGAGGTGAAGCAGCACAGAGTTTGTATTTTCTTGTTTGTTTTATTTCCATTTTTTATACATATTCTGATGTTTATGAAATACATAGTAAAATGCAGTTTTAATATACTGTATAATTTTAAATACATGTTAATAATTCCATAGTTTCGGTCTTCGGGGCGGGCTTCCTTCTAAAGCTAGAAAAATTCACTCACAGTACTTGGAGACCTTCCTGTACTAGTTGCTTGGTAACTAACCATAAAATCAGAAAGATACTTTAACACAACCAAGGTTCCAACGGTGCCCATGAGGGTGAGAAGGCATATTTTTTGTACGCCGCCTTCAGGAATGTGAACATACTGTATTCATAGAGAAATTTTCTCTATGCTGTATTACACTGCAAAGACAGAAGTATGTCTAGCTATTTTTAGCAGGTCATGGCAGTGGCAGTGAAGGTATTCAAGTGTGTTCACCTATTTCATGTCACCATTAACTTCGATTCATCAATCTGATGATCATATTTATGAAAAAAATACATGAATTGTAAAATACTATAGTTTAAAGTACAAATACATATATTTTAATATTCTGATATAAAAGTATATTTGATTAAACAAATTAAATCATAATCGTAACAACATTCCTAGGCCTTTATTATGAATAATTCAGAAATTGATAAATAGAAATATGTAATCTGTAAGAAGAAAAAGAACACGCTAAAATTATATTCAAATTACTTGTAATTAATAACAATCGTAAAAATTAAAAACAACAATCATACTAAAAAAATACAATGAATATTTAGGCCTATGATAGACAAGCATCGTAAAAAAAAAAAAGACAACTTAACACCCAGTCTGAAACACGCAACAAAAAAACTTTAAAAATACAGAACCCTTTAAAAATTACTTTTCAAACATAAAGCACTAGTGCGTACATCGGCGTTTACTGAGGCTGTTTATCGCGACCGAAATGACGGACCGACCGAAATGATCTGTATTCATAGGCACAGCTCTGGCCCAGGCCTAGGCTCTAGCCAAGGCGCGGCCTACCCTAGCCTACAGTATGATGTCATCACAGATAGGCCTAGATCTAGGGGCCTAGGCTCAGGTGTAGTTACTGTAGCATACCTAGGGCCTATCCTCTATCTCTCGAATAAGGGTCGATTTGGATAGTGCATTAAGATATAGCCTGCCAAGCCATCTCCACCAATCAATTCCTTGAAGTTACGTAAACACGTCGGGACAATGTTTGAATGTCAGTAGTTCGGATAAGTCTTTATACATGCATCCACCTTGATTCAAGACAAACACTTCTCTCATACCCAACTTGGCTAGACCTACTCAATGTATATTTCTGTACTTTCACTTACAAGAGAGCAGCCCAAAGCAACGGGAAGATCCCGTAGGGCCCTTACAAAAATGTCCTATAGGATCCTATAAGAGAAAATCCTATAGGAATCT